AAACGCTACACCGCCTAACGGCTTGGGCTGTATCACCTTCACAACAATGTACCAGGTGCGAAAATCGGTCTACCGGATCATGAGTACTTCAGGTAATAGTGAACATGAAACTGCACATAAAACTGTGGTAGTTGGCGGGGTCTCCGTAAAATTTTGGTAGCTGTCGCGCGGGAAGTCCATACACGTTTGCACCAAATGGGCGGTTTCAAGAAGCCGATAGTCATGTCAGCATTAGATAGGTAAATATTTGGAGGATTGATAACAGTATCTTGCTCAACAGGTATTCGGAATTCCTCTGGGTCTGTTACGGAATTTACATATCGCTTTACAGCATCACATTGTTCATTTGTTGCATGATAGGAGCAGGGTTCCAAAATCCCAAAGTTCATCGATCGAGCAATTTCCCCTAATTTTTCCATCTCCTTTTGAACACCTTCTTGACATTCATTGATTCTTTTAGCAGCATTGGCCCCTAACCCTAACTTTCTAATCTTTGTAGGGGCCAGATCCAGTTGTTTCATCAATTCTTGCGTAGATAGTCCGCTACTGGTGGATGCACGAGGCGGAGAAGGCATTAACAACACAGACATTACGTGTCTTAATATAGCCGGATATTGATCTTCAGACGGTATTTCTACCCAACTTTGTACGATCCGGTGCTAAGGACGCGATTTTAAGGCAAAGAATTGGTTACTTGGTCTAAACGCACGACCTAGGAGTCCCATCTGACAGGTAATGTGTAGTCTAATTCAACGTAGGGCTGTCAGGAATAATCGTGGCGAAGCCGAATTCTACGAACTTCACCTGTGTTTGTTCGGGCAGCAAACAGTATGTTGGATTAGATGTGGGCGTACTGTACAGACAGGCAGACCGTGGTTCTATATGAAACTAGCAGTAAATCATTAGCAGAATTAAAGGAAGGCTTTTGGCTAGATTGGGCATTGGGCAGGATGGCACGGAAAGGTGATTGTGTTATCGGACAAATTAAACAGGAAAAATGCTGTTCAGTTCAAAGTGGGACAAATGTTCAACAACCAGCCCAGAAATAAATGTGAACAAATAGACTATAGAAAACTAGTCAATATAGGGTCAATTTTGTGTAAAATAGAATAGAATAGAATAGTTCAGTCTTGAAACTTGAATAGTCACCAGAATGGTAATGAGTTAGTCTGAGGAATGAGGAAATATAAATAATCACGTCACTTAATTGACATTTTCCTTTCGAAATATATGATAACTAGTCTAGGCTTTTCAGGAGATTCGTACAGGAATATAAGCACAACTCAATAAATTCATTTATGGTAGATTCGGCCATTAATGGAGCCAAATTTAGAATAAAGTGTTAATGGCTTTGGAGAGGATCGCCATGACTGCATGAAGTAAGCATACAATAACAAATAACATTACTCATTGGTCGTGTGAGAGAAAACAACACCGGTGACGATGGTTGATAAATTACTAGATGGCTTAATGTTAACGATACAGGCCTCTACGCTCGGCTTGGTAGGCCAGCGACACTGGTAGTGTTTGGCATAACTGTAGCACCTATTCCATTCTTGATTTAGCTCCAAACAAGCTCCCATCAACACATATGAATGTGAGAAGAGCGTGATCAGTTCCACAACTTGCTTGCTAATTGATGACACTGGTGTAAATTACATGGTGGTACATATGACAATGAAATATTTTCAACTGGCATCACAACTCAAAGCGATGAGGAAGCGGACTCGCAAAAGTCTGCCAATATGTACACAAAGGTAGACAAAGCTAAGCAACAAACCTTTGTCCACGATCGTGACGTCAACACGTGTGCAAGTCTGTGACTGACCGGCACAGTGCAGTGTCAAGGTACGCACGCGAGACAACGCCGATCGGAAAGTTGGCTCAGTAGTGTGGATTGAGGTCATCCCTTCCGATGACACTCTTGTGGTTCTGACTCAGCAAATGGGACACGAACACCAGTAAGTAAATAGACCAGCTGCGCAAGTTCACGCACACTCATGCTAACATACCAATGTCGGACGGGACGGCCTTTTCGGCAAGGTGAGTGGCGGGCACAGATGAGCAAAACAAGTGGAGATCAAAGGGTCACAGTAAGCAAATGAAGGGGGGGGGGAATTATCACGAGATCTGGTTAGATTCAATACTATCAATGAAATGTTGGCCTACAGATTTACAGGACCTTACGTTCTGAGCTTTTTGTATGCTACTGCATCTGTTCGTCATCGTAGATGCTTTGGCGATGCTTCGCCTGGGTGAACTGGTTGCGAGTTGCTCGCGTCAGACGCGAATTACCTGAGCCCTTGGAAGTGCATTGTTCGCAGCCTCTAAGGCCTGTTATGCCGATGATCCAGTATAGACCATATGACTTACTGTCTTTTTTATGACATGCCATTCACCCTACACCGCACTGGTGGCAGACGTCCGTGCGGAATTCTCGGTGAGTCGGTTTGTGGAGACAAAACCGATCACATTTTCCATTCGCCATGAATTCTTGGGATAGTGCTATCGATCTGACTTATCTGGCACATGTCTGGTAAAACTCCATGCCAGAAAGTGCTGGAAAGCCACTGCAACCACTAAAACAGAACAAATGTGTTATTAGTGATTTCTACCACACATTTGCTCCACTTCAGAATGCCAAGACCAGTTTTTTCTTTCGAGTGTTAATTCCAGATACATGTGTCACTTCGAACTCTAAGCTAGAATAGATCTCTTGAAATCTGGGCCACCCTGGACTATGTGATTAGAACTAAAACAGAACAAATGTGTTATAGGTGATTTCTACCACACATTTGCTCCACTTCAGAATGCCAAGACCAGTTTTTTTCTTTCGAGTGTTAATTCCAGATACATGTGTCACTTCGAACTCTAAGCTAGATTAGCTCTCTTGAAATCTGGGCCACCCTGGACTACGTGATTAGAAACCACTCATCAGGTGATCTGCAACAACGGTACCATGAAATTTTGTGCAACGGCCGTTTCGCTAAAATTATGTGGCACAAACGCATAGAACCACTCTATTCAGGTATTCATATCAGTCTACAGTTCTCAGGTTGAATAAAATGGATAGGCACAAACCGGTGCTTTGCAGCGAATCTGTCAGGACGACCGATCGTGCGAGCAAGACTGGGCCCATTGTTTACCATCGTCTTCATACCGAAGCCTCCATCAACCCGTCTATCTTGTGCAGGCCATGCTGATATGTAAGTTGTGAGTCGGTTAGATCCAGCAAACTCCGAGGCACCGTTTTGTCGGGCCCTTTCTCGGCGGGATTACCAGCCCCTCCAGGCACAGGAAAATTTAGCATAGGAACTAGAGTGCTGCCACAGCAGCAGATTACATCGAGTGGCCTATATGCCAAAAACGCTGGGACGGCTTTCGATTGATTACGGAGAGCTCAGTAGGGAAGTGCAGCCAACACACTATAATCTTCTAGTCCGATCGACCAGCGGACCAGTGGAACATTGTTCTATGATTTTGTTCACTTTCGTCTCCTAAAACAGCATCTTTGAACCCCTTTTACATAGTTGCAGAACAAACTAAATGCAATTGCGTATTTTCGGGGTATTTCCCGACACTAACTTTTTTGTGACAATCCTGACAACGGGTCATAATTGCTCCATCGATCGTGATGTTGAACAGTGATTTTCTCAAAATTGAAAATGGGGGTCTTAAATAATGTTCGCTAACCATTCGTAGTCACCGATTATGAATAGTATTATACAGAAGAAAGTGACCTGGGATTATGCTCTTTGGTGAGATAAAGCGTCAGATGTGCTTGTGATTGGCCCTAATCTAAATATAAACTCTAGTGGTCATCATCATTCTGTAGTCGGTTACCTCCCCTCCCCAAATTTGTTTATTCTTCCTCAAATATATTATGCTGTACGCATGTTTCCAGAAAATGACACAAAATATTGCTCCTGCGAACTTTCAAACTCTCCCCGATTTTCGTATACCCAGATGTATTAAATTTCGTCTCCTATGACAGAGAGATGCAGAATATATGGTAGCTTCAATAGATATACTTATAGCAAATGCATATCACTGTAAGATAACGGTGTTCAAGATGGTGACGGTTAAACGAAAAACAATCAGGATGACCAGGTGGTCCTTTGTATCCAGGCCATACCCGGGTTCGTCTAGTATTGCGATTCCAAGGCAACACGAATTCGATGTGACTATTGATCACCAAATAATGGTAACACGTCTGAGCCCTTTCTGATGGTTTTGATACGGTTGAGAAAGATACCGGAACCATTTAAGGTGATATACTAGTGGTACCTCAAGTGAGAATGAATGTTTAATGTTGTTTTTGACGTTTCCCTATCCATGTGTGTGTAGCAGATAACACCACGCTATCACTCTCAGGTCACTGGTTCGATAGAGTTTAGCATAGCAAAATCGTGAAGCAAACTTCAAACCCTTTGACATACTAACAGTGCGTAACCAGATGGATCGGTCTGCCGCCACCCACTTCTCACTGCACCGTACACCGTTGGCGAACAAAGCAAGAAATAGATGCGTCGAACCGACCACCACCTTGTGCTTGCTGTTCCTTGGTGGCCTATACAATGGTATGACTTGCAGGTTGTTGGTTCACCCTGAAACCTGACGCGTAGTGTTTTCAAAAAAGTTGAACATCTACGAGCCTTTTTGCACAGCGGTTATACCACTCCGTTGTCCCTTGATGCATGAAAGCAACCTGTAAATTCAGGGAGAGCTGCGCGCATTAGAACTCTTCCAAAATACAGCCAGATTACGCCTGGGAAGTTAACTATTCTTCGCGTTCCTTACACGGATTACGAGTTGACCGGCAGCAGGACAAACTTCTAGTGTCACCCCCGACCGAACTTATGTGAAGGGGAAAGGTAATCAGAGCTTGTCGTGGTTTGGTTTCGGAAAATTATTAACCCTCCTGTACATTTGGCTTTGACGGTAACATCGTGGGTTTACAGTCTACAGTTGACCTATACCGTCCTGTTAAGCACAGAAAGTGAATATATAGAAATGTGTAATGAACAAATTTGGGGAATGAAAAATTAATGTGAGTCTTTCAACGAGAGACGTTCAAAGAGATATTCGCCAAGATTTGGTCCATTTCTCTTGGTCTGGGTGACATAATCGGCAAACTCTTTGATTGATTTGACTTGCTCTTGCAAGAATTCAGTTTCAATGAAGTCTTGAAGCGCAGGATCACGGTGCTCCCCAGCAATATGGTGCATTCGAAGAAGCGACTAAAAGAAAGTTGAGTCGGTCATTTGTATTATTAGGAAGCTACAAACGTAACATAACAAAGTTGCACTTTTTGCAGAGTGTCCCGTTTAGGTTCACAGACGTTTGTAGCAAAGCAGTTATTTTAGTAGTCTGAGTGGAGAGAAAAAATTTGGGAATCCAAAGTGTTTTATAGAAATACTAAGAGAGCACACCTCTAATTTTTAGGTAATAAGCAACAGCGACGTTTAGATGGTAGCTATGAGGTTCATAAGCGAACTTACTTCATTCACCGACTTCTCCATATTCAAGCTGGTCTCCATTACCTCCTGCAAGCTGCTGAAAGTTACTTTACTGGGTTTCTTGATATCCTGGTAGACCACTCTACCACCACGTTGGTTCTGGTAGTGTGCAAATTTTTCTGCGTGTTCTCTCTCTTCATGTGACATTTTTCGGAAGAACTCAGCCACCTTGGGTAGCGCAACTGTATCTTGGTCGTAGAAAGCCGAAAATGCGAAGTAAGCATAACTAGCTTCCAATTCAATGTTGATTTGTTTGTTAATAGCAGCTTCGCATTCTTGGGAGAAATTCTGTCTTGCCAACGGCTCCATGGCTCTCGGTATTCCTGATGCATGGACACCGTATTCATCTGCTTATATACCGAAGCGTTCATCTAATTCTCGTTTTTTTTCTCGTGCTTGTTTGTCTCTCAGTCACGGTTGGTACATTCACGTACAAATTCACCTACATGAAACGTGAAAACTGTTGGTAAAAGTTCAGCGCGGTCGAACCCTCGTGACTTTCACTTAGACTGGCGTCACCGCCGCGTGAACGATGGTGAGCGGAAACAAATGACGGCGACAACTTCTGATAATTTAATGTTTACATGGCTTCAGTTCTAGTTAATTCACCCACGCTACTCTAGCTAGCGTATTAGTCCAGAATGTCGTCTAAATGTGATTCTGGACTACTTCTGAGAGTCAGTATTAGCTATGATATCTAGAAAACAGTGTGTTTGTCTGGACAATATATTTTTGTTAGACTGAACGTTAAAAGATTTCATCGACCAATTTGCTGACTGACGAAAATCGCAAACGTGAGTCATTCAATACAGAAGATTATTTGCGGCCAGTCGGTCAGTCGTAGAGAATAGAGTTAGCTTTGCTTTGACTCCATCATTCTCGATCTTTCAGCACTTAGCTTGAAAGTGATGTTGTCGCATGCTATTCTTTTCTTCAAAAAATTATAGCCAGTTGGCTGAACCCTCTGTAAACCGTGTTGGGTGAGAGAGATTCCGGGTTTTTTCTGTAGGCGGTCGCAGTAATTCCGCCCCTGCTTTCAGAACACTACCATGAAAAGCACCAAGGTTGGGCCATTACTCAATTCTGGACTCAAAGATTGAAAGTAGGTGCCCATATATGATTCACAGACCAGTGCCTGCATGAAACTAGCACTAGTGACGTCGTTCTACTCGAAAACGTTCATCAGAATTTACGGATTACGACACGTAAACCGTAGAGACCAGCCGTATATTGCCAGAAAATGATGCGCGATCTGGTAATGCACCCGCGGCAAACACTGCAGCAAAAGAGCGTCCTTTGCTGCAAGGATTAAAATCTATGCTTTTTCAAAATCAGCAGTAGACACAAGTAGCGTATACACTACAGAAGGCGTGAATGAAAATCCTGTAGTGATCCCATATTGTTTTTAAGTAAGTACCCATAAAAAATTCCAGAAAGGAAGGAAAGCAATGTGGAAAAAAGGCGGAAATGCACCAGATGACTCAAAATAGACCCGTGACATTCATTCACATCGAAGCTTATAAGCGAGAAAATCTGCGCTTGAATGTCTCCATTATTGCTCTTATCCTGACAAAGTTCCAGAAGCATGTCCTATAAAAAGAACCATCATATCTACGACCAGTATACTGACGTTTACTTTTGAAGGATATCCTCAAATTAAGCTCAGTGAACGTTCGATGATGAAACAAGCTACTTTACCTGTGATGTAACACCTAGCAAACTTGTTCACACGATTAGTATTATCACTTATTTTTGATATGCAAACACAAGTCAGCGACTGTGACTTTAGGAATTCCCAGTCCAATAACCGCGACCGTCAACGCTGTTGTGCAGACTTTCACCCCGAGCAACCACCAGCTCTTCCTTGGTGTTTACGAATGCGCCGTTGACTCGGATCGGAAGGCTGAACAATTTTGCCAAATGCGGAATCGTTGGCCACATTGCGTAGTATTCGGCACTGAGTAGAAAGGTGCTTTTCCATACGCGTTCTCCGCTGCATCGGGATTGTTGCAATCAGAATTGAGATACCAAGTCCCCCATGTTGTTTACCGACGTGGATGTAGCTGATCGGGTTGTCCTTCGGTAGACGTGGCCAGCTACGAATATATTGCCTGATGTAGTTGTCCAATCTTTTGAGCGTGTTTTGGTTAGCTTGGCCGAGCACAAGCGAGTATGTCAGCCTCGGTATCAGGTAGTTCCTTGTGATCTCGATTCTTTGATGCGGCTTCAACGAGGAACGCGTCACCTCATCGAGTAGTTTGAGCAGGTGCTGTCGGTGGTTGGAGAACCCTTTCTCCTCGAAAGTAAAGTGGATGCCTAAATATGTTACGATATCTGTCGGACTCAGAGGAGTTACGAGTTCCTCGGCGAAGCGAACTGGTTCAAATGAGACTGCTACCGCCGACGTTCCCTGTCTCCACGATTCATCATCACTTTCGTCTTTCGGACGTTTATTTTCATACCAGCTCTTCCCAACTCCAACGCAACAGCTTCGAGCTCTCTTTTAAGGTGAGCCTGACTTTCTGCACACACGACCCAGTCGTCAACGAAGGCAAAACCATCTACTAGGGTGTCATGGAACTGGTACCCCATTAGTGGCATCGACAATCCAAGGACCTCATCCATTGCCACGATGAATAATAATGGGGAGATTGGATCCCCTTGCCTCACACCTCTGTGGCAGTGAACCTCGGAACTGGGAAAAACTGCTACAGCATTCTCATAGGACTGTGCGATGTATGGAACTAGAGGTGACGG